CACTCTGCTGGGCCACACATAGCTGGGTGCTGGGGATTTTAGGCACCATGGTTGGTTGGGCTCCTGGAGGTGGATGTTACAGCTTGGTATTAATTAAGCATCATTACAAAGGTCTCCTTAACTTTTTGAAAATACACTAGTTGACTGGAGGATATGTACCTTTTATTTCTTCTTTGAGGAGGAAAATTGTCGTGTATTTAGCATTTGATTAAAGATGACTTTGTTGTTTTTTCCAAAAACTGCATAATTTAATGTAATTAAATACGAGCTTTGTTGTCAATACTCTTCAGTTAAATGCACTGGTGTGTGCCAACAGTGTTTCTCTTATTTGCCATGTCTGCATGGTGTAGTGGTACTAGTTTTTGCCTTTCAATAAGGGGTATGGCAGGCATTTTGTGGGCTCCTCTTAACGTCTTCTGTAGATCACCCATGGTCCGTAGACCACAAGTTGAGTAACATTACTCTGGGCTTAGGAAACAAAATATTCTGTTAATCTTATTTCAGCATGTCCTTGGTTTAAAAAAAAAAAAAAAAAAAGTGTGTTTTGAACTTGAGCCATGTGTTTTTGTTGGGATCTTTAAAACTCCTCTGAGAACAGATGAACCAGTATTTTCTGTGAGCTGGGAGTGTCTTGTTGTTCTCACCTTTCAGATGGATGACCTCAGGCCCAGGGTAATTACAGCCACTGGCCCACATTTGTGTTGCACCAGTCAAGCCAGGGACCTCACCTGGGAATCCTGCTCTCCCTGAGGAGTCCAGAGCAAATCAGGAAGGTTGTTTCTAACTTTGAAGAGCAACAAGTGTGATGGATGATGTTAATTAATTTTTTTTTTTTCAGCTGGATTTAATTGCAAACCCCTTACATTTTAGAGCTGCAGGGTTTTAGCAGGGTCCTGCCTGCATCAGTGTAGGCTTTGCTGTGGTAGGGAGCTGAGCTGAAGGGCCAGGCTGGAGCTGTACAGCCCCCTGTGCCCAGGTGCTGTGGGCTGGGAAGCCAGAGGTGGCTGCAGGGTGTTGTGGACTCCTCTGTGCCCCTCTTTTGGATGTGCATGTGCTTGGCCTGGTGCTGTGCTCCCCATCAGCACAGGCTGGGGACACTGCTGGCAGCTGGCTGGCTGGGGCAGAGCTCCTTGGCATGTGGGCCAGCCTGCAGCAACTTGCTGTGGCTTGGAGTGTGATTTTGTGGTGTGAATTAGGAGAACAGGTGCTGGGGAAACAATTTCAGATGGTAAATGGCACGTGAAGAGGAGAAACAGGAGAGCAGGGTGGCGGCAGGGGAAAGATTGAGGGAGTTTTGAAGGCTTTAGCAGTGGGGTGGAATCCTGTGAGTATAAACAGGTACAGGAGGTTCCATAGGCACTCACCTCCTCCACAGGTTCACGTTGTAGCCCTGATTCTGGTTGTGGTGATAACCTCCAGCTTTCTCCTGTTCCTAATCAGAGACCATAAATCTCCTGGTACCTAGTGCTGTAATGGCTAATGCAGGTCTGTGGGTAAAACAGTCTCAGATGGAGACTCTGACTGGGGGGAGAAATACCTTTCCTGTGAGACAATGTCTGTTCTTCATCAGAATCAGTTGAGAAAGTAAGAACTAAACAGTTTGATTTTAAAGATTTAAAGAGCCTGGCCCCACTCTCTCTCTCTTCCTTCCATTAATCTGTTCCTATTGTTTGTGTTCCTCTCTTGAAAATAATTAATAGAGTTTTGGAGGAGGAGGCACCCTGGTGTCTTCTGCTGGGAATAGGTGGCCTGGTGGCGTCCCAGCTGCACCCAGAGAAGGGCACCAGTGCATGTCCTGCAGGATGTGCTCCCACTTTACTCCCCAGTGGGAGCCCCCATAATGTTTTTGCCTGCTGGGCTGGGCACACGGAGTGTAAAAATGAGACCTGAGCTGTGATCTCAGGCATCTGTGGAGCTGCCCCAGTGCTTTGGTGACCTTGTTTGGCTCCAGCCCAGTCTTGCTGTGGTAGAAACATGCAGGGCTTGTGCTGGGACCTTGCTGGTGACCTGCTGTTGGCAGATGTGGGAATGCATGGGCAGTGCTTCTCTCCTGCCTGCAAGGACCATGTGATTTTTACTTTTGTCTTCCCGGGGCTTCTAACGAGAAGCCTCCATAGAGGCAGAGGTGGTTTGCTGCCCTTGTTAAGGAAAAATCCTTTTGTGCTGCTGCAAGCTTGTGATTAATGCAGGGCACAGCTCACAGACGCTGTGCCTTGGTGCAGGAGGGTTTTGTTGGCCCCTGTGTTTCATCCTGTGTCTCTATTCCTCTAGCAGACAGTTAACTTTTTTTAGTTGCACAGACCAAGGCAAAAAAGCTTTTAAAGTGTTTTTAGAGCTCGACACCATGTGGCTTTGCACCTGGTGCTGTGTTTTAAGCTGAACTGCTGATCTGAAGAGTTAGAGAAAAAAATCATCCTATTTCTTTTACTGTAGACAGCTGCCTCAGCATGGTCAGGTCTACCTGCTGTGCTTCCAGGAAGCCTTGGCTTGCTGAAAGCTGCCATGGACTCTGGGTTGGAGTGTCTGTGTGTGTGTGTGTGTATATTTTTACATGTGCTAATTAACTTGTAGGTGGCTGTAAGCCAAGATGTCTGAGTTTGAATCTGTTATTGGGAAAGTACCTTAAATTACTGCAGATCCCACTGAGCTTTCAGAGCCCCTGAGAGCCCCGTGCACATGTCCTTGGCAGCTGCAGGGAGGGCTTGCCCCTAGAGCTGGGTTGCAGGAGGGCTGGGAGAGTGCTGGTGTCTCCCTGCATGGTGAGCATGGCTGGTTTTTGGGACCACGTGCTCCTGGCACAGCCCCCAGCTTGGGGTGGGAATGGGTGAGCAAAATCCCATCCAGTCGGAAGCATGAGGGGAAGTGGGACAGTCATACTGGAAGTATAAATACGCCTGTTCTGGGTATCTCTGAATTCCCCCGTGTGCACAGGGGCTTTCCTGCCCGGGCTGGATTGCACTGAGCGCGCCAAGCTCTTGCAGGGGAGGCTGTCTCCTCTGGGATGGGGCTCAGGCTGCTCCCAGGCCACCGCTGCTTCCCTGGGCTGGCAGGTAAGGTGCCTGGGGCTCAGCAGGGATACGTGGATCCAGAAATGGGGGGAATCCCAGCTCTTGTGCAGGGAGTAAGGGAAAGCAGGAGGGGCCTGGTTGTCCCTTTGCACCCTGCCTGGAGAGCTAAACCTTGTCTTTTTCCATTTTTCACTTGTAAAATACCTTATTCAGAGAGACTCACCTGACCCCCATCAGGAGCGTGGTGATGTCTTTGTGTGTCTGTCATCCTTAGGCTTCATGGGGATTTGCTGAGATGATGATTTCTGTAAGATTTGACCTCTGGGTGGGAGGGCTGCCTTGCCCTGGCTGCCTGTGGTGCCTGGCTGCCAGGGACAGTTGCTTGGTTTGGTTTATTTCTGGCTGCGAGGTGCGTGGCTGCTGGCAAAGCAGAGAGGCAGCCCTGTGCCTGCCTGCAGCAGATAGCGAGGGGTTTATCAGCACGGGCTCATCTGTGGTCTCGCAGGAGGGAAAAGAAATAGAAAAAGAAAAGCTTCCTCTTTCTTTTTTCTTATTTTTTTTCCCCCAGCTTTCCCACCCCCTTTCTGGTTTTTGTGCATGCCAACTGCTGTTTCAGTTGAAATTGCGTTGGCTGGGGCTGGCTGTGCTCCCCATGCGCAGAGACCACAAGTGTGGGGAGAGGCTCCTGGGAGCACTGGAAGTTTCCTTTGCTGTTCCTGGTGTGCTGCTGGAAGAGTTTGATACTGCCAAAAACCTCGCAGAGATCCATACATAACACATACCTGCGCTGGGGAGGAGCTGTGTGAGCGTGCACAGCCCTGGCTGGGATGGGGAATGGGTCTCAGGGAGCTGATCCCTGCTTGGGATCAGCCCTGATAACATCCCCTGACCCGGCAGGCAGCAGAGGCAATTTATGCTTTGTTAACTAGCTGTTAATTTGAGAATAATAGTTAATGCACCTCACACTGACAGCCATGAAGGGCAGCATTTAGACCTTTGTTACTTTTTCATTGTAATCTAGACAAAAACCAGGAGGCTTAAAATCATCGCCAAACAAACAGTGTGAAATATCTATAAAAATCAGTAACTTGTAAATCTCCCCTTGGGGCCAAGAGGCACCTTCCCACTTTGTTGGTTTTCCTGATTTTGTTGCAGCTGCTAAAGGAATTGCAGCAGGTGGTAGAGGAGTGAACGTGTGGGTGACAGGGTGTTTGTGAAAATACCCTCGGGGCTGTGCCGTGTTCTCTGGCACTCTGGCCCTTTCAGAAGGGGTTGATCCAGGTGGCACTGAAGGTGTGGGACATGCTTCAGTGCTGGGTTTTATTGTAGCTTCATGGATGGACACAGCTGCAGGCGAGGTCAGTGTCTGGTGTCCCTCCTGCCATTGGATCAGGGCTTAGCTCAGAGGGCTGCAGAAGTGGCCACAGCTTGGAAAGAAGAGCACTGACATGTGAGAGTGTGGAGGTTGAAAGGGATGGGCTGGGGAGGGACCTTGTGCCTTTTCGGGCCTTGTGTTCAAATGCCAAAACTCTAGACTGTGTTTTTGGAAACTGAGTCACCCTGCAAAAAAATACCCATCTCCAAGAGACTTAGAGCTCAACAGGACCCAAAGAAATAGCTGGCAGTTTGGCTTCCTGGTCCTGCTGGGGGTGGGTGAAGGCTTTCTGGGGAAATCGGGTGGGATAAATTTGGGGAAATCTTACATTTGGACTTCCTGTGATAGGAGTAATCTACAGAAGAAACTTAGCAGTGGGGTTTGCCAAATGGGGAACGGGGCTGCTGGGGAATTGTGAGGGCAGTGAGGTTTTGGTGGCAGCCCAAGCCCTGACGCTCGGTTGTCTCACAGGACTGCGGCTGACTGAATTTTAACCTGCTGCTTTCCCGCTTCCTTCCAGCTCTTGCACGACGTGGGAAGCGCGCACACGATGAAGAGGAGCTCTCTGCTGTCCTAATCCTTGGCCGGTGATTTGGAGGCAGCCTGGCGCGTTGGCCATGTCAGGCTCCACGCAGCCCGTGACGCAGAGCTGGCGCGCGGCCGAGCCGCGCTACGCCCCGCACGCCATGTCCTACCCGGTGCAGATCGCCCGGCCGCACGCGGTAAGGACGCTGCCGCATCTCCTGAAAAATCCCTTTGCCCGGGATTTTAATCCTGGGGAGCTGAGAAGCCTGGGAGAAAAAGGAAAACAGTTTTATCTCATTTGCTTCTCCTGTGTTTTGCTCCTTTGGAATGTGTTTGGAGGTTGTTTATCCAACAGGTGATTGTTTCGCTGGGTTTCCGGTGAGTTGTTTTGACTCAATGGCCAGCCAGTGCTGAGCTGTATCAGGACTCTGGAGACAGTCACGAGTTTTCATTATTATCTTTTTAGCCTTCTGTAAGTATCCTTTCTGTATTCTTTAGTATAGTATAGTTTATTCTTTAATATAATATAGTATCATAAAATAATAAATTAGCCTTCTGAGAAATGGAGTCAGATTCATCGCTCCTTCCTTCATTGGGGCACCCCACAAATACAATAGGCCACGGCTTTCCTTCCCCAGCCCCGGGCAGGGTGGGAGCCCATGTGGGGCATCCCCCTGATGCTGGGAGCCCATGGGGTGTCCCCGGTGCTGGGGCAGCGGTTCAGCCACGCCGCTCTGGGATGCGGCTGTTACAGAGAAATCAGACAATTTCCGTGCCTGTGGTACAGGATTTCATTGTTCCTCTCTCATGGGATCCTCTTTTGTTTCTCCATATGGTGCTCTCAGTTTTTCTCTCCCTTTCCAGCCTTTTCCGAAGCACTTGCTGTGGTGGTGTTCATGGGCTCTGGCTCATAATTTCTGAGCACCTGTGTCTGTTTGTCCTCCTGGCTAGAGCACCCTTGGTTGGGTGCACCCAGCCTGAGGGCAAAGGGGAAGGTTTGACCATCCTTGCGGAGCAGGCGCATGTGCCCTCCAGCCCTTTCTGGCATGGCCTTTCCTTGGCACTGAATCACAAGGGAAGGACCATCTTCTACGTGTGGGCTCACTGCTTCCCAGTGAGCCCAGTCCTTGTTCCTCACACCCGCAGGAGAGCTCTCCTGCTTCCCAGGCAAACTGCTGAGAGTGAACCTGCCTCCTGCCCTCTGTTAGCAGGCCTGCCTCTCTTTATGCAGCTCTCCTGGGGAGCAAGAAGATAACTGAGCTGCTGAGCTTTCCATTTTATCCTTCCCTCTCTTTCCCCCCCCTTAGTCTTGACCTGTAATCTTTTCTCTTCTTGGATGAAGGCATAAGCTGGAGATGATCTTTTTTTTTTGGCTCTGCCTTGTTAAATGTACCAGAACCCACAGAGGTTAATTCACCTGGATCCAGCCTCTCCTTTCTGTGCTGTCTCACTCATGCCTGGGTTTGCTCATCCTGGACGGGTGAATGTTTTCAGTTTAAGCCCTTAACTGAGGAAACTCTTCTTAGTGGAACAGCTTTAGTCAGCTCAGGCTGCTTAAAGGAATCTTATTAGGTGCTGGAGTATGGCTCACCCTTCCAAGAGTCTTTGTAGCTGCTTCTTGGTGGATCACAGTGAGGTGGAAGGTCCCTGAAACGCAAGGCAGGCAGGAGATCTTGTCTGGGGGTTGTTAGGTGAGACAGTCACAGCTGCTGAATGGTCAAATTCAGTCTGTGCTGGTTTTAGTGTTTGACTTGAGAGCCTGGAAACCCATGAAATGCCAGTGAAGGGCTGAAATTCCCTCATTTGCCCTCTTTGCCTGGCTTCAGCAGAGTGGCACAAGGAGCAGACCTGGAGATTGGAAAGGCTTTGAAATAGAAACGTTAAGGAGGGCGCGGGACGAGCTCTTGGCTGCGTTTGCTGGCTCATCTACATCGCTCGGGGCCTGCGTGCTGCTGCACAAAGGAGCTTTTCATCCTGGCTATGAGACACGCTGACCTGGTTCGATTTTATGGGAGCTTTGCTTCCATCGCTGTGAGCGTGTTTGTTTGGGGGCTGGAACATAACCAAGAGCATTTGTCTCAAAAAGAAAATCCCAGTTCTCCTTTTTATAAGACACCCGAGCGGGAGGAGGATGCGACCAGGTGAGCACGGTCTGCAAGTGTTGCAAGACTGTGGTTTAAAAGCAAACCAAAGGAACCTCCATCTGCACTGTGGAGGCAGATTTTAAAAAGAGTGTGAATGGGTCCTCTTTGGGGTGCTGAGCCCTCGTCTCCTGCAAAATCCCAACTGCTTCCCCTTAGTGCTGCAACAGCAGGATGAGCAGGGCACTTGTTTGCAGTGGGCTGGAAATGGGGGTTTCTGCAGCCTGCAGTGAACACTGGTTCTGTTCTGTTGTATTAATGTTGGAAGAAGCTGCTGGCATTCACTTCTAGAAGCTATTTTTACAGGCACATGTAATCACTCGGAGTTATGTGATACCTTTTGGGTGTCTGGATGCAGGAGAGGTCCGAGCTGAGATTTTTTTTTTTTTTGGATGGAAAGCCAGAAGATGGCAAGCCTCTGCTCCTGTGGGCAGAAGCGTGCCAGCCCCACACAAAGGGACGCACCTTGCCTGTGCTGGGAGGGCAGGCAGTGTTTGTGGGAGCGTGTCCCTGCATGATCTGCCCCGCCGCTCTCAGCTGTTCACAAACACGTGGCTCTTGCTCGGCGGCGCCGTGAGCTGGAGCCTGGCCATGGCTCTGGGGCTGGAGCTGATCTCTGGTGGGATTGCTTGGGAGAGGAGAGCCCAGTTCCTTTGAAGTTGTTGCGCTGTTTAATATTAAAAGTCAGCGGTATTTGCTTGCATGTCTTGGCCAGGTCAGTTTTGTCATGGGATGTGTTTGCACAGTGAGGGCTTGTTTGGAAGAAACCAAGAGAGGCCAAAACCAACCCGACACTAACATGTCTTGCATCTAATTAAATTCTGGTTCTGGTTTGTTGCGTTCCAAGACATCCTTTCCTGAGAACTGGGAATTCGTCAGCTCAGGGATCCTTATCCTGGTGCTGGAAACGCCCTGGGTCACCTCCTGGGCGCGTGTGCAGGGCTGAGCACAGCAGGGCTGCAAATGCTATTATAATATAAATAAATAATCACAGCTCAACTGTGACGGTCGCACCCAGGGAAATGCGGCGCGGCAGGAATGCTGAGCTCAGAAATGAGCCGTGACATTATTTTAGGCTTGGAGACACTTTATGAAAAGTGATTTAAAGGATTGCAGCTGTTTGATTTCACAGATGAGGCAAGTGAGAGGAGATGTTGTGAAGGGGCAGGAGGCAGTGGAAGCAGGCTGAGGGATTTTTCTTCTCCCATCGCGTAAAGCCTAAGGGAATATCCAACAAAATGGGGAAAAAAAAGTGTATTTCAAGTAAACAAACAGAAATATGCTTTGTACACATGGGCACCTCCTCCCAGCAGCATGTTCCACGAGCTACTGCTGAGTTTGGAGCTGGCAGAGAAGACCAGTACTGGTTGAGTGAGGATGTTTGTTGTCTGGTTTCACTCTTGGTTGCCAGCTTTGGGCAGGGCTGTGAACCCGTGGGTCTGACCCAGACTGAGCTCTCTCCAATGGCTGACGCAGCAAACGGGTGCTTTCACAGGGTAAGCAACACACTCAGGTGTCTTCCTCCTCTTCCTCCTCACTGGGAGATACCTGGTCCCAATAGCTGTTGGGAAGGCTGGGTGTGATGTGAAAAGGGTGCAAAATTTTATAATAACCCTGAATTTAATTCTGCCTTAGTAGACAATGACTTGCAAAAAGCTTTGACAAGTCAACATGCTTTAAACGGGAAGAAGGAAGCTTAGTGAAAAGGTTCTGGTTTGTTTGACTTTCTTGAGGTAAAACTAAAACCTCCAATAATCAGCAGTTTCTTCTTAAGGGCACAGAGTGGTTCTTGGCCAAAGTGCAGGGAAAACATTTCTGTTTTCCATATTCATTAGCTGTAATGTTGGGGTGCGCAGTTGACTTCTGTCATGTTCAGCTTGGAAACAGAGGAATTGTTTGAATGCTCCATGACCTTTAGCTAAAGGTGAAAAAACACATTACTTACGCTCTTAACCTTCTAATGTGTCCAAAGTTCATGCTCTCTCAAAGGAAACTTTCACATGAAGGATATTCATTTTCAGGCAACCTGCAGATATTTTCTGTAAACAGATCAATTTTCCTGTGTAGTGCACGTCCCCCTTTCTTTTTAAAACCTCTTCATGATCAATATTCCCTGGGAACAGAAGGGTTCCCCTCTTTTCCTCCTGTGTGAATCGGGTTTCTTGCTGTGACCTCCTTACCAGCCTTCCTGCTCCTGCTAGTGCCCTGGCATTTCAGAGCAGGAATGGTGTGGCTTGGGATGCAGACTGGGCTTTCCAGGAGGGTGGTATCAAGTGCTGGAGATGCTGGGGGTCAGGGCACACAAGGTGTGCTCAAGCAGCAGCCTCTGTGACAAAACAGCTTCTGCTTTTGGGGTGCTTTAAGTGTTTCATGTACTAGAGATGCTAAACAGGATTAGGGATTGGGGTGTGTACACATTCATATGAAATTGGTGTTCCATCATCACTCAAATTCCCCTTTGTGAGCACTTTTCCCTCCCTACTAAACAAGAGGTTCATTTTGCCTCCTTCCTGCTGTTTGCCCCCATTCCCTGCTCACAGCTTCAGCCCTCCTGAATTCCTCTGCTCCAGCTTTGAGACCATTGTGCTTTTCCCGTGCCACCTCCCCTGGCTGGGAGCAGCTCAGCAGTTCCTTCATTAAGCTCCCATTCTCAACACAGCCCTTGTGCGGGAGCGTCCCAGCCCCATTGCTCGTTTGCTTTGGCCCATGATAAATAACTTCCTTGTCTGTGTGGACCAGAGACAAGAGCTTGGTGCAAGCTTGCGTGTTGATTTGGTGTGGAAGCCAAAAAGTGGCCTGGGGGGAATGGAGTGTTCCCTGCCCAGACTCCTCCTCCCAGCAGTTGGAGCAGGGCGAGTTCAATGCAGTGTCCTGCTGTGGAAGGTGCTGTTGGGAGGCTCCGGGCATGGCAGGAGCTCGCTGCTCTCCACGGTGACATGGTCGGTGTGGCACAGTGGCGCCAGGTAAGCCTGCACAGGGGCACTGCACTGTGCCTGACTGCTGCTGTGGTGGTTCTCCTTGGAGTAGTTTTATTCACACTTTTGTCTCCTGGGAGC